CTTTACATAAGCACATGACTGCCTGTGTTTACATAACATACCTATTGAGTATTCAACTACTAGGCCTGATGAAGGATGGTGTTAGCATGTAAAGGTTAGACAATCACAACATACAGCAGTCTTAAAAGTAAAGTATCAAAAACAGCCTGTTTCTAAGGGTCATTATAAGTAGACAAAGACACTTCTCACACATTATAGGTGGACACAAACGCTTCAAAATATACATCTGTGTTCACTTCACTGACAGGTCTTGTATTGTCTTCCCTGGCAGGCTCTAATATTCCACATCTTGAAGAGCATAAGGGATCTCATTCATAAAACAGAGCAGAACAACAGATGCATTGTGGGCCGGCGGTTGTTCTTTCCGTTTGCCCTCCAGCTCTTAACCTTCGGTGTGTAGGCTGGAGAGATGGACGGAGACAGAATATGTTTGGAAAGGCGGGCTAAATCGTGGCCAATGAAAATTACATGCTGTGATGCTTATGCATATTTAAAATGCGTTTAAATGCTATATTCAAAATGTGGGTGACGCATAATTTCAGATGTTCAGTGTCATGTTTTTTTGTTTAGATGACTAGAAATATGCTGAAATATGCCAAAAGAGTACTCTTTAGTACTCTTGCTTTGTTTGTGCATGTCAAAAAGAGGTGCACCATGGGAAGACAGACTGATTTTTTTTAGGAACTTTCAACTTTTAGTGTCATTTTTCTTGCTATCTAAGAAAGACATGCACAGGGAAGCAAAGCGAAGAGCGAGGTCTTATAAGGCGAAGGCGTTTTTACAAACTTTTCTCACTTAAACACCCTGTGCCGACTTTCACAAAACAACTGCATTTAGAAGATCAAAAGCAGCTCTGACTTTAAAAGTTTGCACATATGCAGATTGTTCAAAGGCTTTGAAGCTGTTGCTATCAGACAGGAGCATTTTCCTTACTGTTTGATTCTGTCAATATGCTGAACTGAAGTCATGCTGGATCTTGTGAAAGCTGCCAAAAGACTAAATATCACTGTTTAATTATATTCGAATGCAGAAGCTGAATGACTGCAGCATTTCAACAGTACAGGCCGTTGTGTTTAATTATGTTTCTTTTTTAAGTAAAAAAATGCAATCTTGGGAAACACTTCCTGCCTTATATTTTAAAGCAATATCATTTTTTTTTTTTTTTTGGATCAGTGTGTGTTCTGATTGATCATGTGATCTCTTAAATCATCATGTGATTCCTCAAATTAAGATGGCTCCTAGTTCTAACCTTGTTAGCTTGGCATTGAAAATGGTCAACATGTGACCGAAACGTTTGTCTTGTTTTTATTCAGTAAATTGCTCAAAACTCATATTACTTTCATCTCGCTTGTGACTTTCTGATGTTTGAGAGTGTGCAGACTTTTTTTAAGCTCTTCACTTTTTGGGAAAGCTATATAATACACATTGTAATCCATCTTTTCATAAATAATAGTAAACAGTAAAATAAAAACTTACTTTACTTCATAATAAAACATAATATAACCCATAAAAAGTAGGTGTTGATTATCTTTTTTTTAATACAATATATATTCAGATGTTTAAATATTATAATGCATAGATAGACAGAATAAAGTTAATAATAGATTTACAATAAAATAAAATAATGTAAATTATATTTTATTATAAAATATAATAAAATAATAAAATATAATAATATAATATTCAAATCAAATTCAAATTTGATCTATTTGATGACACAGATTTAGACAGATTTGTGAACAATATTTGAGAGAAATAGTCTCTCAAATACTGCTTCTTTGCACATTGATTAACTGGAAAGCGATGGATGGATGGATTTAGTGCATCCTTGCTGAATAAAAGTAATAATAAAAGTATGTATTAGTCATTTTAAAGCAATAAATATAATAAAATGTATTATTTAATAAAATAAACTATAAAATTTACGATGGATGGATGGATAGAAACACGGATGGATGGATGGCTGGATAGATGGATGATAGATGGACGGGTGGATGGATGGATAGTTAGATGGATGATAGATGGACAGATGGACGGATGGATGGATGGATGGATGGATAATTAGATGGATGGACAGATATGTAGCGTCTGGACCAATCAAAAACACAATTTTTCAGGATGGACGGACGGACGGATGGATGGATGGATGGATGGATGGATGATGGACGGACGGACGGACGGATGGATGGATGGATGGATGATAGATGGACGGATGGATGGATGGATAGTTAGATGGATGATAGATGGACAGATGGACGGATGGATGGATGGATGGACAGATAGATGGACGATGGATGGATGGACGGACGGACGGACGGATGTATGGATGGATGGATGGATGCTGTATCTATGTTTCCAACTGGAAAGCGATGGCTGGCTGGTTGCAGAACTTTGAGAAAGCCTGTTTGTTAAGCAGTGAACAATTGTCTGTTTCTCATTAGACGGTTGCAGAATACAGAGCAGATATACTTTCCTCTCTCTCTGACTCTCTGTCTAAGCACAGACAGTCAAAACATGATTTGAATCTTCTGTCTGATGTGCTGTCAGTGGTTTTCCCTGTAACACTGCAAACCGTTGCCATAGAGACCTCTGAGACCAGCACACATCCATGGAACTATTTTGACTAGTTCTGCGCATATGGAATAGTTTATGCCAATGATTAAACAATATGCAAAGAAAAAGCAAAAGCGATTCTTTTATGGTTGAAGGTCTGGTTATTGTGTCAACAACAGCCTGTCATAACAGACATTGACTCATGTCTGCCTTTCCATTCGCAATTCAAATACTCAGCAGTCCCTCTGGAACAAAAAGCAGATAAAAAAGCATGAGTATATCCTCCGTTTTGATGTTTGCAGGTCTTCAGAGATCTTATGAATTGGTCTAGTCCATCTTTAGGCACATGGGCTTGATTTAGGCTGTGGTGTTTTGCATTCATGCACTTGCTTTGTCATGGCAAAGCATGTCTGAGTTCACCTGACCCTCCATTGCTTTCTCACTCACACACACACACCCACATGAGCAAAGATGTAAACACTCACACACAATATTCTCTCGAAAAGCACCAGTCCAGACACAGTGAGGGATTGACCCACAGACAACACATGAATGGGAATCAATCAATAATTCATCTATTTTGACAGAAATGTTTGTACACTTGACCCACAAACTGCTTTAGAGACTTTGAATGGCGGCTTATGCACAATAGAACATTGTACAATAGGCTACAGACAAACAAGTCAACTCGCGCAAACCTCAGCTTCCACTAAACGTAAATAAACCAAACACTTCACACAGCTTGTTCTACAGATATAGAGGAATTTATGTATTATAATCTTTATATATAGTACTATACAAATAAATATTATAATGCAAATTTTATAATTATACAGGACATATGATTATTATAATAAATTAATTTGTCATTTAAATTTAAATTATAAATAATATAATAAACGTTATTATATTATGAAGTAAATATATATTTATTTAATACTTATAAATATGTCATATATATATATATATACTATAATAAATATATTTATAATACTATAAAAAAGTATATAGCATTATATTATATTGTGTTTATATATATATATGTGTGTGTGTGTAAATATGGAGTATAAATATAATAATATAAATAATAATAATACATATGATAAAAAAATAACTTCTTAAAACATTTATACTGAAGTATTATTAAAACTAAAGTGTACAATAACAAATCATTGATATTTATTTATATATTATACTTAATAATAATATAAAGTTATATACATACAGTCAATATTGCTAGAAAATAATGTAATCAAATGTTTACTGTGCAAAATGAAGTATATTATGATAAATATAAAAGTAAATATTATGATAAATCTCTCTTTATTCTATCTACAATAAATTATGACTAAAGTGTGTGTGGTGTGTGTGGGTGTGTGTGTGTGTGTGTGTGTGTGTGTGTGTGTGTGTGTGTATATATATATATATATATATATATATATATTATCATGCAAATATTATAAAGCAGATATGATCACTATAATACAAATGTATAATAATAATAATAATAATAATAAATCATTAAGATTTACATACTTTGTTAATTAAGATTTACACACTTCATATGTTAAAGCTATACATAGTAAATAATATTAGACAAAATATTTATAATATGATTTTAAAAAATCTGTTTATATTATTTATTATAATATTTACTTCCAGAGTTATTGCATTATTTATATGAAAACATGGGCAGACGTTAGTATTTTGATAGAAGACTTGATTTGCCAGTGGATTCTAGAAGAGCGTCACACCATCTATCCTTCACTAAGTATTTTAAAAACCTCAAATATAGTCGTCTGTAGAACTTCAAAGCCTCTCGTTTCCTTCAAAAGTCGTATTCAGGGTCCTTCGATAACTTTGTCAACGAAAACGTTGAACGAAGAAGCTGCCTACCCTTGAAATCCAATATCTGACTGCTGACGAAACCTGCGACAAGCTCAAACAGTGCATTAAACATGAAAATTAAAGCTGAACATGGAACTTCAAAGATATCGAGGAGACGAATCTTAAAACTTGGACGTGAAGGTATAAATCTTTAATATTCCTGTGGGCAAAAGCCCGTCTTCCTCTCAGTGGAGACACAAGGCGGGATGGTTTTAAGGCAGATTTATGGAACCTTCTCAAATTCCCGCCTGATTCCATAGTAAACACTTTTGTCCAGCTGCATGACCTCGAGGATAAAAATCTCCATTGTTAGATGAAGAACCGTGACAAGTCATCATTCAGTGAGGTAAAAAGCAGGTCACTCTGTCCTCACCTCTCTTGTTTGCATCTTGGCTTGAGATTTGAACTCGGAGAATGTCGTGATAGTTGCATGTGGATGAACTGGTAGACTTTAAACAGCGTAATGTGCACATCTGTGTATGTTTGCATGTAAAGACGCGAACTGTCAGTTTTAAAAATGAGTGAGTGAATGATGAAATCCCAAATCAGCAGCCACTCACCAAAGCTTTGGTCTCGTCCTCATCTTTGTAGTAGTACAGCTGGTCTCCTCGCAGGACGAACCAGCGCGTGTGCCAGGTCTTCACGAAGCCTCCTTGCTTCCGGAGCCAACCGCAGTGGAGAACGTCCTGCTTGGCTGATCCACGGCCGTGCTGAGGGCTGTTGCCCGCGCTGCCAGCCTGCTCGTCCATGACCAAACCCAAAGACCTTTCTATACCCGAAACAGAGGGGGAGACGGGTTAGTTTTAGCTTATGATATAACTGAAAGTGTGATATGAGTCACGTGACTAATCTCTCAGGCAGGTGTTCTGGTAATAATACAAAGGACACTACCGTTGCCCTGTTATGCCATAATACTGCTCACTTCATCCATGCCGCATTTGCATTTGTCAAGATAAGCAACTACTTCTAGGTGGGAAAGGCAGTGCTCATTTATTGTGGGAAAAAAATGCTCATTCAGATATGAACTGGCTGTCTGACAAACAGGGCACTATTATTCACTTATCTTTTCTACTTGCAGAGTTTTGGAGTAGCCTATTTATTATAAAATAAAAGTAAATATTATGTTTGCTTTATAGTTACTTGTATAAAACAAAGTAAACATAAAATGTTAAAATGTTTTCTATATAAAATTATATAGAAAATATTATGATAAATGTAGATTAGATAAAAGTAAATATTATGATACATCCCTCGAAAACAATACTAAATACTACTAGAGTAGTAATGTTAATACTAAATGTAAAAATTAATAATATTTACATTCATAAATTAATATAATATTTGAATGCTTGGTTGCTGTTGTATTATTATGTAATATTTAAATTACATTTATTTATTTGTAATATTTATTTTCTACAATATTTATATAATATTAGAAAATATACTGAAAATAAATAATTGAGATTTATTATATTTACTTTAACAGTCACTTTATTTACTTAATATTATAACGTTATACATAGTAAATATTATTAGAAGATATAACTATTATGTTCAACCCAGCTGCATTTATTTGATGACAAGTATTGTAAATCACTATTCCTGTGAAATATTATTGCAATTTAAAATACATGTTTTCCATTTTAATACATTTTAATATTATACGTAATATTATACACAATCGTATTTATTCCTATGAAGGCAAAGCTGAATTTTAAGCAGCCAGTATTGTGATACATTGTTCAAAGGATTTTTTTATGAATAGAAAGTTCAAAAGAATAGCATTTATTTGAAACAGAAATCTTTTGTAACATTATACATGTCTTTATTGTCATTTTTGATCAATTTAATGCATCCTTACTGAATAACAGTAGAATAAAAAAAGAAGATATATAAAAAAGTAAAAAATAAAAACAAATACATACAGTACATATAGGCTATACAAAACATACATATAGCTTTTTAAATAGAATTATTTTAAATAAATAATAATGAAAAATTGCATAAGGAATTCTAATGGACTCGCCCATTGACATGGAATACCTAGATAGAGCTATCTATGGACTCAACCCCCTATTTCACTTTTTTTTTTTTAGCCAAGCCAATCATCACATCATGTCACAGTCTGACCTCTGACCCTGCTAGTTTTATGTTATGACCTACTGACATTAACATTCACAATGACTAAAGATGTTTGCTTTATGAGTTAAGCTCAGCCAAATCTGGTCACCAGAGAGGAAGTGACCTCTAGTGCAATTTTAACCGATCTCCTCTACAACTCGCTCCCTCTCGCTCTTCCTTTCCATTTTCTCCCACCTTCCCAAACGCAAACCCATCTAGTGTTAGCAGCTGGAATAAGATTGTGCTTTTCATGAGTCTACAAGATCACCAGACCTTCCCACAACAACATTCTGCTCAAGAGATTAAAATCGTGAGCCAGGGGACGCCGTCCAGGAACAAAGCATTAAAAAATGAATTTCTAAACAGTTGCTGGGAGCTGGAATTATAAATGTGTATCTGTCCGCCACAAGAGACACAAGACAGGGAATCACATATCTGCAAAACAGGGCAGTCGGCCAAACACCTGACGTACATTTAAGTGACTGTCTGACAGCCAGACATGCAGGCATGAAATCATAAAGGGTGTTTTATGTGAATGTTTATGATTTTAGATGACATCTTTCAGAGAAGGAGGGGCGGAACGAGCTGCCAGACTAGAATCTTCACATTTGTGCCCATCGAGATATCATATATCAATATCATATCATATCACGCCTGTCAGTGGAGATTTGTTACTCGCTGCCTCAGCACATATGTGTGATGTGTGCTGTTTGTGTGTGTGTGTGATACCATTTCCTTTGAGTAAGTTTTATTTTTTTTCTTCCATTCACTCTTCCATTCAAATCAGAGCGGCACTGGACTTTAAACTGAGGAGACGTTCATCACAATTGGTCTTTTTTCTCAGTGCGACCTCATTCTTTCAAAGCAGACGGGAGGTTCCTATCTATCTAGACAGCATCGTAGATGCACTCTTGACTATTCAAAATATTACACAGCAAAAGTGCTGCCTTAAAAAAAGTTCTAGTCAAAACATGCAAACTTTCTCAGAATATTCTACACTGAGTTTGAGTTTTGTTTACAGTAAAGCGTGTTAAAATATATACACTTCTGTTGGATACTGACAATTAGTCAAAACACTGACAAAATTCAAACATATACATATAATTTTGACAAAAATGTCAAGCAGCATTGGGTGTATCATATTGCAATAGGCAATCCCAGAATGCATTGCAATTGAAACTTGATAGAAAATAGTTCTATATAATTAAAAACAACTATTTAATCTAACATTTGCATGTGTGTATGTTTTTGTACCAAACAGTCTTAAGAAATCTCTTAATTAGGCCTTTAGGCCTTTGGTCAAAAATACAGCAAAGACAGTAATATTGTAAAATATTATTACAATTCAAAGTTTAATTTTCATATATTTTAAAATGTAATTTATTCCTGTGATGCAAAGCTGAATTTCCAGCATCATTACTCCAGTCTTCAGTGTCACGTGATCCTTTAGAAATCATTCTAATGCTGATTTGCTCAATAAACATTCATTATTAATATTAATGTTAAATGTTGCTTAATATTTGTGAAATTTTGTTTTTCAGGATTCTGAAAGTTAAAAAAAAACAGCATTTATTTGTAACAGACATCTTTTGTAGTATTATAAATGTTTACTGTTGCTTTTGATCAATTTAATGCATCCTCACTGAATAAAAAGTATTAATTTCTGGAAAAAAAAAACTGACTCAAAACTTTTGTATTAGCATACTTTAGCTCAGCAACATGGCTAACATCAGGCTTAGAATCAAGATGCTAACTATTGGAATCATAATTCTCACTATAAACCCTCAAATTGCTAAGTCTAATCTCACCATTATCCTTCATAAACCTGAGAAGATTACTTCAGGATTTATTATCTGATTTGGAGGTGAACATGTTGTATCTGCTGAAGAATCGCTTGGCTCTCATGCAGAGCACAAAAAGAGTAGCAGAATTAATCCTCTTGTTCTTGTCATATTTAGAGGTCAGGGCTTATTTTCTCTTGCTCTCGGTCTCACAACGGCCTCATTAATAATTCAGACAGTGGCAGAGCCAGAACATGTTGAGCTCCAGACAGGATTCTGAAATACCGCCTCTGCATCTAATTTCCTCAAACAGCTTCGGAAATAAACTCAGATGACTGTGTTTCTCAATGCTGACAGCATCGGAGACCCAAAATTGGTTCAAACAGGGACATGCACACTCTGTTCTCCAATTTTTGGAGATGGGGTTGGTTTCAATACTTCATCTTTTCCCAATTTAATACACAGAATCAACAACTATAAGTAAGCTGTTCATAGATTTATATCCCAGAAATCATTGCTGTTGGTTCACTCTTAAAAACAAAAGTTCCAAAAGGGTTCTGAGGGCGATGCTTCAGAAGAATCATTTTGGAACCATTTTCAGTGAACAGTTCTTAAAATAACCATTTGAGAAGAACATTTAAAAAATCTGAAGAACCCATAAATGTGACCCTGGACCACAAAACCAGTCATAACGGTCAATTTTTCAAAATTGAGATTGATACATCATCTGAAAGCTGAATAAATAAGCTTTTCATTGATGTATGGTTTGGTAGGATAGAACAATATTTGGATGAGATACAACTATTTGAAAATCTGGAATCTGAGGGTGCAAAAAAAAAAACAAAATATTGAGAATATCGCCTTTAAAGTTGTCCAAATTAAGTTCTTAGCAATGCATATTACTAATCAAAAATTAAGTTTTATATATTTACGGTAGGAAATTTACAAAATATCTTCATGGAACATGATCTTTACTTAATATCCTAATGATTTTTGGCATAAAAGAAAAATCGATAATTTTGACCCATACAATGTATTTTTGGCTATTGCTACAAATATACCCGTGCTACTTATGACTGGTTTTGTGGTACAGGGTCACAAATAACCTTTTGTGCAAAGAAAAGTTTCCATGGATGTTGAAGGTTCTTCATGGAACAACTGATGCCCATAAAGAACCTTTATTTTTAAGACTAAATGCCAAAGAACCATTTTGAGATCCCCAAAGAATCTTTCAGTAAACAATTATTAAAAGAACCATTTTTCTTAGTGTGAAGAACAATTTAAGGATCTAAAGAACCGCTATAAAAAACCTTTTGTACAATGGAAAGGTTGCATGAATCTTGGAACAATGAAACGGTTCTTCAAGGAACCATAGATGCCAACGCACAACCTTTATTTTTTGAGCATCTAAACAACATCTCTTAACCATTGATATGAATTTGGGTTGATATAATTGATTTGTCCGACCAATGGTTTGCACCAATTTTGCACTCTCTCTCTCATATGTAGCATTGGACAGTCTAATTCATTCTAGTGAATCGGTTCACTTGAATAAATCATATAAATGAACTACTTCAAAGAATGATTAGATGATTCCAGTCACTTGCAGCATTTGGGTATTTTTGTTAAATGCTGCTGCTCATCACTATGTTTTCAACAAATTATGCATTCTAGGTTTTTAGTTGTATTTTGTGTAAATCTATCTTATGCGAAAGTAGCTGGACTATAAAGTTATAATGTCATGTTGTCACATGCAGTAAAAGTAATTTCACAGTGAGAAAAGCAGCACTGCCACGTTGTCATAAGCACAGAGGTGGTGGTGTGTGTAGTGTGTGGGTTACGATGAACTCCAGATGTGCTGCTTTAG